GAGAGAGAGAGAGAGAGAGAGCCATATGTACAAAAATATTTGTAGCAGTTTTTTTTTTTGTTTCAGCAAAGGGAATGGGTGAACAAATTATGGTATGTGAATGTACAAAAGGGTCAGCTTCATAGAACATCTGAGAAGACTTGCATGAACTTATGCAGAATGAAGTGAGCAGAACCAGGAGAAAAATTTACCAAATGACTACAACACTTAAAGGAAATAACTATGAAAGAATTAAGAGGTAGGATTGATGCAATGATAATGATGATGATGATGATGATGATGACGATGATGATGATGATGATAACTAGATTCATATAGCATTGTAAAGTCTACAAAGTGCTTTACATGTGTTGCCTAATTTTATCCTCATAAGAACCCTGTGCTGTAGGTGTTATCATTCCCATTTTACAGATGAGGAATCATGACTCCAAAAGGTACATGATGAATCATATAGAAGCACAGAAGCTAACAATGGAATATCAAATTGGGGAAGAGCAAGGAGGTCAGCTTGGCTGGAATGAAGAATGACTGAAAGTGAGTGATATTAAGTATCTGAAAAGATAGGCTGGAAGTAGATTGAAAAGGGCTTTAAATGTGTGTATTCATATGAAGCTAAGGATAAATTTTATTTATTAAATAATATTCTATCTTAGAGGCAATCAAAAGTCACTCAAGATTCTTGAGCAGGTAAGTGAGATAAGGGAGCCTCTGTGCTGTCCACATAAAATAAGAATGAAAAACCCAGGATCCTGAGGAATTAGCTTCTACCTTAGGATCCGAAATCATAAACCTGTTTTGTTTGTTTGTTGACCCATTTCTTCCTTTCTGCTTTTGTTGACCTTCTTGGGTTTTGGACTCTATTTTTGAATCTGAAACAAGGATCAGCTTGACTAACTTGCTTAGATTTAACTTGCCTACCAGGTACCTTACCAAGAGAACATTGTATACAGTAACAGTAATATTGTTTTAGGAGTGACTTTGAGTAAATAAATTATTTTGTCTATTATAAATACCCAACTTAACTATAAAGGACATATGAAGAAAGGAACTATCTTCATTCAGAGAAAGAACTAGTTACTAGAAGTATATATAGAATGATTTTACATATATGTATATATAATATACACACATGTACAGACATACACACCTATTTTTATCTAATGGTAACCATCTCTAGAGTGGGGAGAAGGAAAAAAGGAAAAAATTATAATATAATTCTGTTATGCATTGAAAGGAATAGCAAGTTGTACATAGTAGATTTGCAGTTTCATATGCAATAATCTTTTTTTACTGTACTGTTATTGAAATGCTTTGTTTTATCCCATAAATTCAAAATAAAATGAGTTTTAAAAAAGGTTTTAGAAACATTAAAGAGTAATGAAAATGGGGAAAAAATAACTTTGATTTAGTTTGCCTACCAGTTGCCTACCTGCAGCTCCCTATTTTCGTGGACCCTCTAAACCTGGACTCTACTTCCTTACTTGAATATTTGCTACTTAATTCCTGCCCCCCCCCATAATGACCTTTGACTCTTCACCAAAATAAATCTATGATTTCTACTAGATCCCCCTTATGCTTGGCCAGACTCATATTCCCAACCTCATCTGGCTGACATTCCTGCCTTCCCTTGGGGCAAATGCTTTTAGAACAACAATAAAGATGGAGATTCCATAATTTTGGTTTTCTCCTTGTAATGGGGATGGTATTTAAATAGTTTTTGTGGATTGCAGATGCAACTGTAGGACATATGTGACCTTTGTAAGGGCGAATGCTTTCTGGACATTTATAGCTAAGACTTGCAAATGAAACTATTCCTGAACTTATTTTATTAGCTCCCAAGTGAAATGAAGACTAGACAGATCATGCCTCATTGCTGTGGTCACACCTGAGGATGAGATAATTTCAGTTTTTCTGTTTGTTATGGTGTGAACGCCTTACCCTTTCAGTACTTAGGCATTCTGAGCACCTCTTCCATAAAAATGGAAAGCAGGCAGGAAAAGGCTGACTAGAGGAAAGTAACACCATTAATTACTTTAGTTTGGCTTCAACAAATGTTGCTAGGGGGAGTGAGGTGATGTTCTCCATTCTAAGGATTCACATAAGTATATATATATATATAATATTATATACAATACTATATATACAAATATTATATTATATGTTGTATATTATATTATGTTATATTGTATTATGTTATATACAATATTATATATATATATATCTATGTATGAAGTATATAAAAGTAAAGAAGCATGATGAGTCATCTCATCTTCTCTCCACCAACAATGAAATGGAAGAAAGGTCTATCATGGGACCTGGATGAGAACTTGACCCTGCTTCTCAAAAAAAATTATTTTATACACAAACACACATAAATGTACATATATGCACACATCCATGTGCATATATGTATGTATGTATATCAGTCAATGAATAAACATTTATTAAACACTACTATGTGCCAAGCACTGTGCTAAGCACTGGGGATACAAAAAGAGGCAAGCCCTCAAGGAGCTTACAATCCAATGGGGGAGACAACATGTAAACAAATCTATGCAGTTCATACTACTTACAGGATAAATAGAAAATAATTAATAGAGGGAAGGCACTAGAGTTAAGATGGGCCAGGGAAGGGTTCTAGTAAAAGATGAGATTTTAGTATGTACACTAGTTAATTTACAAATTAGTTTAGTATATAAACTTAAGGATTATCAACAAACCAAAATCAAATAAACATATAACAGATTACAACCCTTGTAGTTACAAAAAATAGAAAACAATGAATGAAGAAAGATAATGCTTTTTTTTCTGTGCCCCCCCAACTTCCACGTACATGCTTCTAGAGCAGGAATTAAATCATAATAACTTTAAGTACCAAATGATGACATTGGATAAACATTTGTTATCGGAAAAACTGTGAGTACTTATGAGTTTTATCTCATAGGAGTCCTACCATATGAAGAAATTTCAGTGAGATGGAATGAGAAAAGGGAGGAAGACTTATTGAAAATCATGGGAGCAGAACCTGGAAATCTGGCATTTTACTTGCCTTTTCTAATCAGATGGCACTGTCATCTCTGGGGAAAATTTAATGGATTTATTATGGTAGAGTTTGACCCCAAAATGCCATGAGCTAGATGGTGCTCAGCAAAGCAGTACTACAAGCAAATGAAAAGTATTGATGAAGTCATATGATTCATTTTAAAAAAATGCAGACTTCTTTCCTCCAGGAAGATTCCACAGGTACCTACTTGCTTACCTACTTGCTTGGCAAAAATTATTTGCCCTAGGTAAGTAACCATAAATAGCTCATGTTTTTGTAGTGGTTTAAAGTTTATAAAGTTCCTTCTTCACAACAACCCTATGAGGTAAGTAGTGCCAGTATTATTGTCCCAGTTTTGTAAATAAAGGAATAAATAGACTTAGAGAAATTAAGTGACGTCCATGATCGCATGGCTAGTAAGTGTTGGAGCCAGTATTCCCTCTTGGGGCTCTGACCTGAAGTCTAATGCCTTTGCTGCTATGTCATGCTAACTCAGCTCCTTAAAAAGCACGATTACTACTCTTCCATTTTGTTGGTCTACATTGCCAAGTCCTACAAATCACAAATTGTAGTTCTCTCTTATTTCCCTTTCTATCTGTTCTACCTTCTTACCTGTTGCCTTCCACTTGGTCCCTGCCTCCAACCCCAGGATGACACTACACAGGGCCCAACATGATTGGTGAGTCCTCACCTAGAATGTCTGTATCATCAGAAATTCTAGCCAAGCTACTTATTTTTTTTCCAGCTCACTCACTGGTTATGCCCCAACTCCACAGTCTCCCTTTTTTTTCTAGACTTCATACAGTTATGCTCCACTTCCAACTAGTTTCCATCTTGCCTTTATGTATTGTTTTCCTTCACTGGAAGGCAAGCTCCTTGAGAGTAGGGACCTCAATAATCTCTCTCCCTGTCTGTCTCTGACTCCCTATCTGTCTCTCTCTGTATCTCTCTCCCTCTGACAAAATTCTTAGGAGAACAAACTATGGGGGAGAAAACCTCACAGGGTATTCCCTCTATTATGAAGATTATAGGAAGAACTTAATATGAGCCTTGAGTGTAAAACAATATTTTCTGAGATTTATATAAAAATTATGGGATAAGCGACCTATCAATAATACGGCCACCATTTCACCTGGTCACCAAATAATGCAACTTGGAGAAAAGCCATTCATAACTGATCCTATGCTCTTGTAGCTTCCAAAGCAGCTTGGATTTGTCCTCAGAAGAGGGGGCTTTGTTTTTTGTTTGTTTCTTTTTGGCGAGGCAATGGAGTTAAGTGACTTGCCCAGGGTCACATAGCTAGTAAGTGTCTAGTGTCTGAGGCTGGATTTGTATTCAGGTCCTTCTGACTCCAGGGACAGTGTTTTATCCACTGTGCCACCTAGCTGCCCCCAAGAGGTGGGTTTGAATACAACCTTTGTCATTTACCCACCAGTCATATAACCCTGGGACAATTCATCTTTATAAGCTTTAGTTTTCTCATGTGTAAAACTGGACGAATAATACTTACACACCTTTCTCACAGGGCTGTTGCCAGGGAAATGCTTTTAAACTTTAAAGTACTATTATTACTTCTCTCACAGAATTGTTGTGTCTCAAATGAAATAATAAATATGAGCAGCAGCTGGATGATGCCATAAATATAGAATACTGGATCTGGAGTCAGGACGAATTCATTTCAATCTGGCCTTAGACATTGACAAACTAGCTCTGTGACCTTGGGCAAGTCACTTAAATTCTCTGCCTGTTAACTCATCTATACAATGGAAATAATAGTAACACTTATCCCCCAGGGTTGTTGTGAGGATAAAATGAGATAATATTTATAAAGCACCATATAAATGTTAGCTATTTATTATTATTAGATGGAATACACTTGGGAAACAGCAAAGTGCTAGGTAAATGTTAGCTATTTTTATTACTCATTCAATTTTAGCCTCTGAAAACATCTTTACCTTTCACGGGACATCTTTCTGATGTAGTGATGGGGCCGCTGGGTTTCCACATTCCATACAATAATTTCTCCATCGAAGCTGGCAGTAGCAAGAAGGTCAAGAGAAGGACAGTAATCCACAGCTAAGATATCTTCCTTATGTAGTTGTCCTCCTTTCCAAGACTTATCTGCGTGCACATATAGAGCCTAGGAAGAGTCAAAGAACTCTACTAAGATGGGCTAACGGTGGGGGTGTTTCACCCCCCCAAATTAGGTTAGGCAAATTCTTTCCAAATTCCAGGACCTAGACAGAGTTCTTAGGGTTCACATGACTGCTGGTTACCACCCCCACCCCCACTCCCCAATGTGAATAGCCTAACTTATTCAATAGAACACCTTGACAATGTCTGAGTGTCCTCTGGGGGTAGATAGTCTGTCTTTAACTGCTGGTAATTAGAGGAACCAGTGGCATAACTATCAACTTCATGTCCCTTCAGTAATCTAGTGTTTTATTTCTCCCACCTCACCTATTCATCCTCCCCCTCAGCTGACTCTTGAAATTACTATATTTCTCTCAACATCTTTATGCTGATTATATATTTGTTTTGCCTTCAAAGGGCAAGTATAGGACTCTTTACTCTCTATATACCCTGAGTATCTTCTAAATGACTTTGTGCTCTGTGGGAACGCAACAAATGTTTACTGTGTAACTAAGCATTTCTCAAAACCTCAGAAATTTTATGCTATTCCCTGTCTGTGAAAGGGGTGAAGGTTGGATTATCTTACAAAGCTATAGGTTTGTGTGAATTGAGCAGAGTGAGGTGAACAGAATCAGGAGAACAATTCATACAATAACAACATTATAAAGAAAGCAACTTTGAAAGACCTGAGAACTCTGATCAATAAAATGACCAAGCATGATTCCTGGAGACCAATGATGCTGCTGCTCCCCACCTGACAGAAAGGTGGTGTGCTCAAGATACAGAAAGAGAGATACGTTTTTGGATATGATCATATAGGAATTGTTTGGGCTTAATTCTGCATTTTTGTAACAAAAGGTTTTTTTGTTCCTAGGGTAGGGGATGGCAGGTGGGAGGGTGAGAAAATAAATATTTGCCAATTGAAAAAATAAAATTGTTTAAATAATTGAAAAGCTATGGGAAAATACAAAAATAAATAAGATATAATTCCTGACTTTAGGAAGTTTCACACTAGTCAGAGAACCAAGTCATAAGTATGTCATAGTTGTAGGTACTTAATAAATATTTGTTGATTACAAGGGATATTACCAAGGCAATAAAGAATATGATGCATCATATGACTGGTTCAGACTAGGGATACTATGGGAGTTTAGAAAAGGGGACAATACTATGGATTAGAGTAGTCTAAAATGGAGGAAGAAATAGCATTTCATAATATGTCATTGGTATATCAGTTTGAACTTATTTATACATTGCTGCTGTGTAATTGTCATTTTTTTGTAAATTTGTAATTGCAATTGTAAAATATTTTTGTATGTTCTCTATTACTTTCATTAATCTTCATACTCCTTAGAGAGTAACAATTGTCTTTTTTTTTGTATTTAGTCACTATTTCTGAGCTTAAAGTAAATACATGAGCCTATGAAAATCCAGGTCTTCCCATTCAATAAGACATATTGTTGTCTGACTAGTCTCACAGACCATGGTTTGTAACAAATGCCACCTATCCTCCCTTATCTCTAGGCTAGCTTACCTCAGGTTTTGAGCAGTCATAAACGATGATTTTCCGATTCCATCCCACCGTTAGGAATACATGTTTTCGAACTGGGACTACCCCTGTCACTTCTGCATCTTCTACCATCTCCAGTTTGTGCAAGATGTGACCTCTCTGAATATCCTAGACCTGTTTATATAAGAGTGAGGTGAGTAAGTTTTAGGACCAACTTTCTCCCACCTTCATGGCAATACTGGATAGATCATTCCAGTATTTGTTCTGGGAGCTCCTTCCATAATATTTCTCCCAGTGAATAGAAAAGTAGCATGGTATAGTGGCTAGAGGAGGAATGTTGGCATGAGAAAGACCTGAGTTCAATTCCAACTACTAACACACGCTAGCTGTGTAACTATGGTTAAGAAACTTAACATCTCAATGCCCCAGGCAACTAATACTATAAGGGAGAACAACTCAAAACTGACATTGAACAGTGTCTTACTTTGACAATGACAAGACATTGACAATGTCTTACTGACATTGGACCAGTAGTGGTAATAATAACAACAATAATAACAGCTGGTATTGATGTGATACTCTAAGGCTCATAGAGTACTTTGGTAGCAAAATGAAAATTATGAAGCCAAAAGGTGTAACTTGGTTGTGCCAGAGCCCTTCTGATTTGCTTTCCCACATACTTTGACAGTGCCATTTCTGGCAGCTGTGATAAGCCTTCTACCTGAAGTATCTAGGGCCATGCAGGTTAATTCCTCTTCACCATGAATGTTCTTTAAAATGAATTGCTTCATGCCAGTCTCAATATCCCACACTGCAATGGTGGAGTTGTGACATCCTGTCACTACCTGCCACGAGATAAGTTGGTTTCAAATTCATATTAAATTGTGTATATTGAAACCAGGCTAACAAAAGTTCTCAAATGATATGAGTAAAATATATCTCTTTTCTCTTGGTTAACACGAGTTTTGACTCATCTCTTAAACATCTGATGATCAAGCATTCTTTGAATATCTACCATCTGCAAGGCAGTACTGTGTTAAGCATAGGGACAGTGTGGTGCAATGATAAGAGCACGGGATCTGGAGTTAGAGGACTTGACTTTGGTTTTTTTTTTTTTAGGCAATTGGGGTTAAGTGACTTGCCCAGGGTCACACAGCTAGTAAGTGTCAAGTGTTTGGTCTGAGGCCAGATTTGAACTCAGGTCCTCCTGACTTTAGGGCCAGTGCTCTATCCACTGCGCCACCTAGCTGCCCCCGAGGACCTTTGAATCCCATCTTTTCTACTTACTAGCTGTATTACCCTGGGCAAGTTCCTTTCTCTTTTCTGGGCCTCAGTTTCCTTATCTGTAAAATGAGGAGCTGGGATTAGTTGATATTTAAAAAGCTATGGGAGTTACAAAAATGATTAAATCATAGTTCCTGACTTCAAGGAGCTGCAGTCTAGTTGAAAAACCAACTCATAAGTATGTGAAAAGCTGAATAATAAAAGAAATGTCAGAGTCGTAGGTGATTAGTAAGAGTTTGTGAATTGAATACAAGGGATGTCACGAGCCTGTACAGCATTATATGTACATACATTATATGAATGTCTGGGCAAAAGATGCTATAGGAGTTGGGTGAAGGGGGCTTCTGCAGGCAAGGATCTCTACCTCTTGCAGTATGGATAGCTCTGTCGGCACATGTCCCTGAGTTGAAACGAAATCTACCTCCCTATGGTTTTCATTGATTAGTCCTTTCAAAGCTAAGTCGGATAAGTCTGCTGCAGTGGCATGCTGGTAAAAGTTTAACAATCAGTTCTCCTTAAACACAAGACACTTTTGCTAAATCTGTATTATTAACATTTTCTCCATCACTTCAACTCTAGATATTAACAAAATAATAAATCAAGCCCTGATTTGTAGCTTTGCCTACTTTTGAGGTGTAAATGCTCACATCGAAAATTTAACAATTGGTTCTCCCATATAAGCTGGCTCCAGCACACTGGGACTCTGCTCCTTCTTTCACATGGTAGCCCCTTAAATACATTTATCATGCCCTCCATAAGTTTTTCCTTATTCAGGATATATTATGCATACAATTATGTGTAATACAGACAATGTAAATATATATATATATATATATGTAATATACATGTTAAAGAGAAATATTAAGACTCATTGCACTCTGTGTTTTGGGGCTCAAGTCTTTCAGAAACAATTTTGTTTAATTTAACATTAAGCTAATATCTAAATAGCTCTAGCTTGGAGAGAGAGAGAGAGATAACTAAACTGGTTTAGTTCCATCATGCCCATTCTGCTTCAAGACAATTTTAGGTAACATAGGAATCTAAGAAGAAGAAAATCATAACATATTAAAATGCAGTTTGAATGAACATTTTAGAATTGTTGAGTAAACAAGTCATTATTCCATTTCTTTCAGGATTCCTCCCCTCCAGAGATCAATTGAACTCTTTCCAGGGACCTTTATCAAGAATCCTTTTTGCATTGGAGGTAGACATTGCTTCCTTTTCTTTCTTTTTTTGGCTAGACAATGGGGTTAAGTGACTTGCCCAGGATCACACAGCTAGTAAGTGTTATGCATCTGAGGCCGCATTTGAACTCAGGTCCTCCTGACTCCAGGGCCAATGCTCTATCCATTTCACCACCTAGCTGCCCCTATTGCCTCCTTTTCAGTGGAATAGAGGGCACTTCCCTCTGGTGGTTCCTAGCTAATCACTCTAGGGAAAGAACAAAGGAGAATTTGCCCTTAGCTGGGTAAGTAACCCAGTTATTTTAGGAGTGGAAAAGGCAACAAGAGGAGAGTTAAATTTGATTATTATTCTTAAACCATTTTCCTAAGAAAGGCCTTTTTGTCCTCAACCGATCACCCATCTTTCTGAGGAGCTTTTCCCAGGTGTTTGTAAAGGGCTTTATAGAAAAATATTTAATATTTTCAGTTTTACTAAAAAAAGAAGTTTTTAATATGCTTATACACATATTTGCATGTAGATATGTATGTATATGTGTGTGTTTTTAAATACGTACTGATATGACATTTATTTGAGGCCCTTCACCATTCTGATCACCTTCTACTACAATTATTCTAGGTTGTCAACATTTTTATGAAAGTGAGGGTCCTGGGATTGCATTATCAGCGTTCTCTAACCGCATTAATACAGGACTCTTCACAGTGTAAAATGAAATGGAACTCTCCCATTTTGGCTAGGTTTTTCCTCTCTCAATGATGGGAGACCCCCAGGGCATAAGAAAGGATCAGTTTCTGGAATTAAGAGGTATATGTAGACTTTAAGAGAAGAAATAGAGACAGTGATGCACACAAGACCTGGATTGAGACCTGGGCATATATATTTCTTCCACAGGGCATCATGTGCACTTAAGAATCCATGTCACCCTGAGATGTTAAAATAGCAACATATAGTCTTTCATTTCATATCTGAGATGAAACTCTTACTGGTCCTAGGTTATAGGCTCCTGTTCCTTCTGAAAGAACATAGCAATATCATAGGCCAGGATTTCAATTGAGCCCATAGCTGGAGACAATGGAGACTATGGCAAAGTAGCAGAGATGTCATGTCCAGCGAAGAGTTAAAAGCCCCAGAAACCCATAAGAAGGACTTTATAAAATGAAGGTCAGATGAAGTGACTCACCCAGAAGATATTGAATGCTCAATAAAGAGCAGCCACTATTAGGTGTGGAAGTGGCTCCTCCTGGCACACATAGCAATAATAATAACAATAACAATCATAATTAGCACTTGTTACATGCTTAAAGATTTGCAAAGTGCTTTACAAATACCTCATTTTATTCCTACAACAACTTTGGGAAGTAGGTTATTATTATATCTATTTTGTAGATAAGGAAACTGAGGCTGAAAGAGGTTGAGTGACTTTCCAAGCGTCACACAGATAATAAGTATCTGAGTGAGGATTTGAACTAAGGTCTTTCTGACCGCAGTTCCAGTGCCCTATCCACTGTTCTACCTAGTTGCCTCTATATGCCATTGCCATACCTGTTCTGTTATACCTTTGTACTTATGAACTCTCTTTTGTTTACTATCCATACCAATTAGTACTAAGTGTATTTAAAAAACAGTGAGTCATAGGTTATTGGGAGTAGGTGGGAATGTTTTGTCTTTTACTATGACTTTTCAGTAAATATATTTGTTTTGAGCTAATTGTATCACCTGACTGACTACTAAAAAATAGCATATTGGTAGGGAGTCATGAGCTATAGTTTTAGGAATGTGGACCTACAGAGTACCCAGAATATCCATCCTTTAGGGGACCAAATTTCTGAGAGATTTAGGTGGAGGTCACTGTCCATATAGGTGCTAAATTTCATACAACTCTCCTTCAAACAGCTCAGGTTCCATAACCTTCAAAATTATATTTCTGATTTCCCTAGTTGATCTCTCTCTCTCTCTCTCTCTCTCTCTCTCTCTCTCTCTCTCTCTCTCCCTCATATATACTTTTATTTATTTATATGTGCATGTTAAGTCCCCATAGTAGAATATAAGCTACTTGAGGCCAGAGGTTATTTCATTTTTCTCATTACATTCGTAGAATCCAACATAGTATCTTGTACATAATAGGCAACACATTGTTTTACAGAATTGGATTGAAGGTGGGAAAAAGATATGTGTATATGCTTATATGAGGTCCCATCCCTTTCATTTTAAAAATTACATTGTTCAGTTTCCTAAACAATGAGCAGGAAGCCAAATTTAGGTGAAACTTAACTTCAAAACACTTAGAACTTGTGGACTCCAAATCTAACTCGTTCTTTACCTATGCAGTACCTACTATGGACTACCTTATGACTTACACTCACACTTATAGGATGGGTCTTCCAAAAGTGGCTGGCACCTCAGATTCTAGGGTATATCCTGTTGGTCCACTCTACTAAAACTATAGCTTATGAGCCTCCACCAATGTACTTCTCATAAATTATAAGCTAGTAGACATTATTAGCTCTTATCAAAGTTAGCATGGTAAAAACAGTGGTTGCCAAACATTTATCCTCCTCAGTTACCCAAGACACACTCTCCAAAATACATGCAGTGCCCATGGTAAGAGTAGGCACAACCTTAGTAGTAGCAAGATGCATATAAATGATAGATGTGTCCCAAATGCTACAAACTTTTGGTACTTTGGGGCCTGGGAATTCATTCTCTTTTCATACAATCATCATACTGGCCACCTTATATGCATTAACTTTGTAGGGTGGGTTGTTTGGCTAGGTTCTCTTGGTCTGCTCCTTTTCATAGTTCAACCTTCTGATGCCAGGTGCCCCATTCTTTGAAGAAGCTTCTGACATCAAAAGATTACTTTTTTATAGTCATATGTATGTGGAGTGTATATATCCATGATCTCTCAGCTCTGCCTTGAATCCTTCAAACTGACAAACACTTGAACTGCTGGATGGAGTTTTCCCTAGGTTGATGCTGGACATCCTGACTGTTGAGGTGAGAGAAGAAAAGAGAAATTTTCCCTTGCTCCAGGATTTAGCTAGTTAAAGACATGCAAAGGCATGTCTAATTTTTCTTATCTAAGGAAATCACTCCATTTAATAACGTCAAAGGATGGGGTCCATACTGCATCAAGGGATTTCCTAGTATAGCTGTAATTCTACAGTTAGTTTAATGCCTTGTTGCCATATTAAAACCTTATGATTTGTGACTAAATCTTGTGATTACATCACATGAGCAAGGGAGGAAGGGAGTGAGAGAAATAACATCATTCTTTCCTTATACTCATAATTTCTTGCTTGTTATCACTTTCCTTGAATAGCAGTTTTTCACAGGGTGTAAATGCCATGGACGAAAGGATTATCACCTTGGAGTCCTG